TGTATTCTCTGTTAGAAACATTGGAAGATGGTTTTTTGTTATCCCAAGGTTCAAACAAAAACTATGTCAAAATGCATGATGTGGTCCGTGATGTGGCTAAATATATTGCGACCGAGAGAGAGCATATATTTATGGTAAGTCATGATGTGAACTCAGAAGAGTTCCCAAGAAAAGACTCTTACGAGCAATGTAGTCACATGTCAATTGTTGCAAATAAATTTGAGGAGCTTCCTAGCCCAATAATTTGCCCAAAACTGAAGCTATTAATGTTGAAACTCCGGTTTGAAGATCCATTCAAATTACAGGATGATTTTTTTGATGAAATGAGTAACCTCAATGTCTTGAGCCTGAGGGGATACAGATTTGTGGAGTCCAGTCTGCGTTATTCAGCATCCATGGAGTCCATTCTGCGTTATCCAGCATCCATTAGGAGGTTGTCAAGTCTGAGGACGCTGTGTCTGAGTAATTTAAGGTTGGATGACATATCCTTTATTGGGGAACTTGTCGAATTAGAAATTGTCAGCATAAGAGATTGTAAGTTAGATGAGCTGCCAGAGGAGATAGGAAAATTGACCAAGCTAATTAGGTTAGAGTTTTGGAATAAGAGTAGAACACTTAAAAGGATTTCAGCAGGGGTGTTATCAAAACTAGCTCAATTGGAGGAACTACATATTCTGGAAGTAGAAGATTTGAGTGATGTGATGTACAGTAACCTTGGCCTTCCCTCCAAGTTGACACGGTACACTCTTGAAATGTGTTATTGGAATTCAAGATTTGATGAATACGACAAGATTATTGCTTTAAAGGTCACGGAGACCAGACCATTGGGTGATTGGATCTGCCACCTGTTGAAGGAAGGCGAACTCATACATTCAACCGGGGAAGGCTCTAATAATGTGTTAACTGAGTTGCAGCTGAATGAATTTCAGAACGTGAAATGTCTCCACCTCTCTGAATGTGATTTAATGACACATTTATTGAAGAGGACACATGAAGTAATCAAGTTCCCCAATTTATATGAGTTGGAGCTTGAAAATCTGAAATGTCTGACTCACATTTGCAGTGACAATGTTGAGCGCATTGAGTTCCCTCTGTTACAAGCAATGATCTTATGGAACTTAACTGAGTTCCAGAATTTCAGGCCTACAGCCAACAACTCAAATCCTCTTTTTGATGAAAAGGTTTGCTTCTTATCACAAAAATGTTACCTTTTACTTGAGCATTAAAGATATTTACTTAAACAAAGTCTATTGCTTAGATATATCC